TCTAGAATCGGATTCCGACCCCGATATCAAAAAGTCAGCCCCCCGGTCAAACTTTGAAAAAATTCATCTTTCGCCATTTCAAGCCAAATTCCTCTATAGACCTCCAAATACTTTTCTGGACATGCTCCTAAGTCCAAAATCACCATACGGAGCTATTGACATCATCAAAATTCCATTCCGGAGTCGTTTACTTAAAAGTCAACTCTCCGGTCAACTCTTTCCATTTAAGCTTCTAAATAAGAATTGTTCTTTTAATTTAATTCTGAATCTTCCGAAAATCAAACTCGACCACACCCGCGAGTCATAATACATATTATGAAGCTGCTGGAGACCTTAAGTCACTGAACAGGGCGTTAATTCTTAAAACGACAAGTCGGGTCATTACACAGCCAACAACCGATAAGTGGTGTTCGGGTTGGTCGAACATGCCTTCGAGTTAACTTGAGGCCGTAGGCCAATTGGTATTGTTCGAATGGGTTGAACCTACCATTGAGTTAGGTTGAGACCGAGGGCCGATAGGAGTTGTTCGAACTTGTTGAACATATCATTTCGATAAGTTATGGCCGAGGGCCGATAGGTGTTGTTCGAGTTGATCGAACACCATTTTGTTAAGTTATGGCTGAGGGTCGATAGGAGTAATTATTCGCATAGGTCAAACGCGCCTGCTAGTTAGGCCGAAACCTGGGGCCGATAGGTGTTGTTTGAGCTGATCGAACATACCATTTTATTATGCCGTGGCCAGGGGCTGATAGGAGTTGTTCGAACACGCCGTATAGTTAGTTGCGACCGTGGGCCGATAGGGGTTGTTCGAGCTGGTCGAACGTACCTTAAGTTGTGGCCGTGGGTCGATAAGAGTTATTCGAGATGGTCGAACGTGCCTTTTAGTTCAATCGAGGTTGAGGGCCGATAGGAGTTGTTCGAACACGCCGTATAGTTAGTTGCGACCGTGGGCCGATAGGGGTTGTTCGAGCTGGTCGAACGTACCTTAAGTTGTGGCCGTGGGTCGATAAGAGTTATTCGAGATGGTCGAACGTGCCTTTTAGTTCAATCGAGGTTGAGGGCCGATAGGAGTTGTTCGAACGTACCTTTTTGTTTAAGTCATGGACGAGGGATGATATGAGTTGTACGAGCTGGTCAAACGTACCTTTCATTAAGTTATGGCCGAGGGACGATAGGAGTTGTTCGAACTGGTCGAATGTACCTTTTCAGGAGAGTAGTTTCAATGAACGTGTATCTTAATTACTTCAATATCATTGCTTTGATTACATCATTTTTCCCCGAGGAAGCTTTTGGAGAAAATTACAAGTTACGGGTGTTGGCTGGCATCCTAGTACTAGTATATCTACTTCACTCATTGTTCAACTTGGAGATTCTTCAGGAGTCGGGTAATGAAAAATGTGTCTGCTCTCGCGTACTCCAACTCGAAATGTCCCATTTGTCACCTCGTTAAAAACCTCCTTGAGAAAATCCTATTGGGACAAAACTCAAGTGAAGAAAAAAGAGTATGACTTACTGGGCATTTCTTATTTTTTAGAAGTTGAAGTATTTGAGGTGGCTGATGTTCCAATTGTTTGGTAGGAGCTTCCCTTCCATAGTTTCCAGTTGGAATGAACCCTTGTCCGCTTTGCCTATGATTTTGTATGGTCCGTCCTAGTTGGCTCCTAAAATTCCCTCTCGTGGATCTCCGCTTGCTTAGGTCTTAGCTTTGAGCACGTAGTCCTCGATCTTGAGTAATCGTACCTTTGCCTTTTTTGTAGTAGCGTTTTGACTGCTGTTTCTGTGCGACCATTCTTATGTATGACATATATCGTCGCTCTTCAACCTCGTTAAGGTCTTATTTTCTATTGTCGTCATTGGCGGTGCCACTTTCATGGGAGTACCGTAGGTTGAGTTCTCTGACTTCGACTGGTATGACCACTTCCGTTTTGTAGACTAGGTGTAAGGTGTTTCTCCTGTGCTCATTTTTGGGGTTGTTCTGTGTGCCCATAATACTTCTGGGAGTATTTCTGGCCACAGTCCCTTGGCTTCCTCGAGTTTCTTCTTCATGATGTTCAAGATAGATTTGTTGGAGGAATATGGTTGCCTGTTGCCAGCTGGATGATAAGGAGTTGAAAGTATCCTTTTGATGTGCCATTTTTTGAGAAAATCTGTGGTTTTTCTTCCCGTGAACTGGGGCACGTTGTCACAACTTATTTCTTTTGGTAGGCCGAATCAACAAATAATATTTTTCTATATGAAGGAGATTACCTCTTGCTCACGAACTTGGGTGAATGAGCTTACTTTCACCCATTTAGAGAAATAGTTAGTTAAAACTAAAAGGAATTTAACATTACCTCATCCTGGCAGAAACGATCCCACGATATCCATTTCCCATTTAATGAATGACCACGGAGAGGTGAAAGAGTGGAGGTGTTCGCCTGCTTGGTGGATTATTGGGGCGTATTTTTGACATTGCTCGTATTTCTTCATGAATTATAGGGCGTCTTTCTTCATGGTGGGCCAATAATATCCAGCCCGTATGACACACTTGACAAGCGATCGATCACCAGAGTGATTTCCACAATGGCCTTCGTGGACTTTCTCAAGAACGCGTTGGGTTTTATTCGGGCCTAGACATTTTGCTAAGGGGTCTCCATACGTTCTCTTTTACAAGTCGCTGTGAAGGAGGATGTACCTAGCAGCTTGCATTCTCAGCTTCTTGGTTTTGTCTTTGTCATTTGGGAGGGTTCCATCCTGCAAATAGTTTATAATACAATTGCGCCAGTCCCAAGTTAAGCTTACAGATTTTACCTCGATGTGGTCTAACTCTGAGATGAGGAGATGTTCCACACTCTTATTCCCAGGAGTTATGCTTTTGGTGGTGGCAACCAGTTTAGTGAGGCCATACGCCTCGAGGTTCTGAGTTTGAGAAATTTGGTCAAGCTGGCATTCATCGAAATTGGGCACCAATTTGCATATCTCAGTCTAGTACTTTTTCAATCTCTACTCTTTGATTTGGAAGGTGTAGTAACTTGGTTGACGACAAGTTAAGAATCGCAGCACAGCTTTAAACGCCTCGCCCCATATTCGAGCACTACTTTCAATCCTGTAATTACGGCCTCATACTCGGACTCGTTGTTAGTCATATCTGGGAATCTTATTGATTGGAGAACTACTTCACTAGTGGGAACCTCGAGCATAGGTCCCAGTACGGACCCACAGGCGTTGGACGCGTCATCGATGTGTAGGACCCATAGGTCCTATGTTCAGTGGAAAGCTTGAGTGGCTTCTTTCTCGGCCTCAGGAATTGCTTTGGCACTAAAGTCTATGAAAAAGTTGGCGAGCACCTGTGATTTTATTGTTGTGCGAGCTTGAAAAGTGATATCGTGTTCACTTAATTCGATGGCCCATTTGGCCAGCCTTCCCGACAACTCGGGTTTGTGCAATATGCTTCTTAAATGAAATATGGTGATGACGGAGATTGGATGGAACTGGAAGTATGGACTAAGATTTTGTGAAGCTATGACAAGGGCCATGGCCAGTTTCTCGAGGTGAGGATACCTCATCATAGTGTCGATAAGTGTTTTACTGATATAATAAATTGGAGACTACGTACCTTTGTCTTCTCGAACTAGGACTGCACTTACTACTACTTCAGAAATGACAAGGTAAACGGGGAGACGCTCCTCGGGCTCGGGCTTTGAGAGAAAAGGTAGCGACGACAGGTATTCCTTAAGTTCTCTAAACGCTTGTATGCATTCATGAGTCCACTCGAGACTGTTATCCATTTTGAGTACATTAAAAAACTTATGACATATCAAATGGTCTCGAGATGAACCTAGACAAGGCGGCTATTTGATCCGTCAGTCTCTGGACTTGCTTCTTAGTGGTTAGATGTTCTGATATTCTGTCGATGGCCTTAATCTGGTTTGGGTTGACCTCAATTCCTAGATGCGATACCACGAAGCCCAAAAAGTTTCCCAAGGTTATGCCGAACACATATTTCTCGGGATTCAGTTTCATCCTGTATTTTCTCGAGTGCTTCCTTTAAGTGGTAGATGTGATCCTTGACTTTTACAGATTTGACCAATATGTCGTCGACGTGTACCTTCATGGTTTTGCCGAGCTGGTCTTTGAATATCTTCGTGACCATCCTTTGGTAAGTAGCCCCCGCATTCTTCAACCCAAATGACATGACCCTGTAGCAGTACGTTCCCTTGTGAGTGATGAATGTAATCTTCTCTTGGTCATCTTCCTCCATGAGTATTTGATTGCTGAGTAGGCATCCAGTAAACTTAGCAGCTCATGGCATGCTATCGTGTCAATGAGTTAGTCGATGTGTAGTAATGAGAATGAATCCTTTGGGCATGATTTGTTTAGGTCAGTGAATTCCGCACACATCCTCTATTTCCTGTTCTTCCTTTTGACCATTACCAAATTGGCAATCCACTTAGGATATTTTGACTCCCAGTTAGAGCCGTTGGCTAATAACTTTTCTACTTCTTCGTGGACGGCTTTGTTGATTGTTGGATCAAACATTCAGCAGACGTGTCTTACTGGGGGGTAGTAGTGGTCAATGTTTAGCTTGTCTGTGGATATCCCCTTGGGGATGCCGGGCATATCTGCATGGCTAAAGGCAAATAAATTTGTGTTAGTTATTAAGAATTGACTAAATTTACTTGGGTTTTGGAGTTTGCAGCCGATGTAGGCTTTTTGCTGGGTTCACTGTGATCTAGATGGATGGGATTGAGGTCTTTTAAGGTTGACCCTACGTCTTCGACCACTTCTAGGTCCACAATGGTATATTTGGCTTCGACCGGTAGAGACCTCGACTCGGCTGATTTCTATACCGCTTTTTCCTTTTCTTTATTTTGCTGAATTGTTGTACCGTCCATGGAGATCCGATAGCATTCCACGAATGTGCGTTGTTCCTCTCGTATGCTGAATATTCCTTAGGGGGTCGAGAATTTGATCACTTGGTGCAAGCTGGAGGGGACTTCTCTCATGGAATGTATCCATGGTCATCCCACGATGGCGGTATATGCATTGTCGTGGTCCATGATATAGAATGTTGTTTCTAGAGTCACCCCACCGGCGAGGACGGGGAGTGTGATTTCTCCCGAAGTCCATTCAATTACATTGTTAAAACCCGTTAGTGTAATGCAGCGTGACACTATCTTATCCTCAAGTCTCATATGTGCGAGGACTCGAGGATGGATGATGCACGCTCCGCTTTCATCATCTACCATAATTCTCCTAACATCAGTATCTAAAATTCGTAAAGTAATGACAAGTGCATCATTTTGAGGGAAAGTCAAATTGTCGACATCTGACTCATCGAATATGATTCTTTCTTCGAGTCCGTCGTACCATTCGTGTGTGAATGCTCTTTTGAGTTTGTGAGTGGCGGTGAATTTGATGCCATTAATAGAGGCATCGTCACTGCTACCAATAATCATGTTGATGGTACGAGCTGGTGAAGGTAGATTTGGTGGGCCTGGGCATTCTCGACCCCTCGCTAAAGTGTTCCTGCTTTTGTCGCTGAGTAATTCTTTGAGATGTCCTTGTTGCAGCAAGTTTGCTACTTCTAGTCTCAGAGCGTGGAAATCTTTCGTTTTATATCCACGTTCTTGGTGGAACTCGTAGAGGGTGTCAAAATTTCTGGTGTTCGGGTCGGACCTCATCTTTGGTTGCCAATTCACACTTCATTCTGAGCTCCTCTAGGGCATAGACATCTCTATAGGTGACACACAAAAGTTGTAAGCAGATAGTAAGGGGCATACCTCGATCATTCCTGTGAGTGCCTGATCTTGGCCTCACAAAATAGTGATATTATCTTATTACATGATATTCGGGATCGGCCGTTCCGTCATAGATTCTGAGATACGGGGGCATCTTGAAGGTTTTGGTATGGCATGAGGGGTCGTTTCTTAGGTATGACTGCTCCACAAACCTACAAACGTCTCTTTTCGGTAACAATTTAGGGTCACCTAGTATTTTGTCTACCTATTCCTGGTGCTCCTTCATTTGTTACTTGAGTGCTTTGTTCACGTTTTTCATTTCTTCCATTCTTTTCAAAACGACGGCTAGGATGTTGTCACCTGCACTGTCAACAATCGTATGAGTGTTACTTTAAGTAGGAGGGTTTGGTTGGTCGTCCTGTTCATTTCTGAACTATGCTGCATGGATCCTCGCTATTTCTGTGGTCGTGCATGGGGCTTGTTTAATAATCACGCTAACTAGAGTGTGAGTCAACCATGTTTCGAGGAGACTTTTTACGGCGGGCGGTGCCCCTTCTCCCGTGGACGTAGAGGCCCTCTTTCCATTTGATTTGGTTGTGCTGCAAAAAGGTATAGGTGACTTCCCTAGTCTGGGGGAGGTCGTGGGAGTCACCTCCTTATATTGGGTGTCATAACCTTCGTCGATGGTACTCATGAGGTTGAGCGGGACGTTGTCCGTCTCTTTTATTCCGCTTCCTTGGTTACCTGGCATGGAGTTTTTTGTATACACAGAGAAAAAAGATAATCTTTGTGGTTTGTTGGATTAGCAAGTCGCATGAGTTATAGATCCAATGAAACTAAAAACTTGACTGAGAAATCCCCACCCACGACGCCAAACTGTATGAACCAAAATTTAGATCTAGTCTTTTATACAATTAGATTTATGGTGAATAAAGGTTACCTAAGTCAATATTAATATCCAAATGGTAGATCTAACATATTTATGGAGAATACCGCACATGTGCTATAATATAACAATTTCTTGGAGCAGTAATGGAATAATATATGATTCAAGTATATGGAGAAAAGCAATAAATGACAATAAATAACAATTAAGTAAATAAATGAACAAAGGGCACCCGACAAGAGTGAGATTTTCCAATGATTCTTCTAACTATGATGGAGAATGATAAGCCTTTGAATATTCTGATTCTTCTTATATCGGGGAAGAAATTAAAAGATAGATAAAGATGTAAAAAGGTAAGCTTTGTATGTATATAATAAAGAAAGAATTTTCAGAGAATGTTAATGTATTGTTCTTTACAAAAAGTGTCCAATACCCAAGATAACTACATATCTTTCTATTTATAAGGATACATGGGCCACAAAACCTTAGATAGTACAGTTTGGTGGAATATTCACTAGAATATTCTCTAGGGAATAGTAATCCTAGAACTAGTCGTTACTGCTCGCCGAAAAGGAGTGCTCATCCTCGTCCTCGTCTTCTGTTGGATCACGTCGACCTTATCGACGACCTACTATCTTCTCGTGACGTCGACCCTTTGAAATCAAGTTATCATGTCTTATTGATAACACATGATAGCCTCCGAAGGCTTTATTTCCGTTAACCTAGTCAATATGCAACATGATGTTTTTCGCTCATACATGAGTAATTAATGATAAGGATAAAATAAAAAAAAATTATTTTCTTTTGATTTGTTAAAATTAACGAGTAAAACTAAAAATATATTTTTATTATAGTGGACAAGAGGACAAGTAAGTGATCGGATGGAATAGGAAAGACCAACGAGAAAAGAAGGTAAAAGGATATGTACTTAATCATGTTTTCATATATATCCCAAAAAAGTGAAGTGACAGAGAACTTGGAGCAAAAAGTTTATTAATGACCACAAAATCTTAAGTTGTTAGTTTAATCAATGAAAAGGTCTAGCCAAAGAAGCTATCCAAAAGGTCACTTGTTATTTGGACATACTAATCAAACTATAATTACTGATTCTTTATTTTTTTTATATATATTTTTCTTTCATTATTGTCTCTTCTTCTATGGCATCATCAAATAAAACATTTTTCTTTCTCAATCGTTCACTCAAATATTTAATTAGAAAATTAATAGCCGTAGTTACCTAACCAAAAGTAGCAACCAAATTGTCTATAATGCAACTAACCCCATTAATTTGCGAGTTTCACGTCACTAACTTAACCTTATATTCCAATAGCATTTCTATATTAGGTCACCAGAGCTTATCAACAACTTTGGCCTTCTATTGCACACGTACGTTTGATATTTGACATATTTAGGTGAGTTTGTTTCGCCTGCAAATGGATCATATATTCACTAAAACTTTGATCACTAAACAAAACAAGGGAGTAGAGAAAAACAAATGGAGTTTGTTCATCTAACTTTTTCCCAATGCTGAGGAATGGCGTAACAAATTATGTTACAATTTCCATTTACAATACATAAAATATTCAACCAGAGCTGCTCTTTTAAAGTCAAACATTTTTTTATTTAAATTTTTGTAAATATTCTTCACATCTTTTCACTTAAAGATTATAGTAACTTTTATATCTTAAGTAATTTTTAATGGCTACATTTTATTTAAATATATTGAAGAATTAATGTTCGGGTTTACAGCGAAAAGATGTCTTTTCTGTCACCTATTTTTTCTTAGGAAGGAAAGGAGTAATTGAGTTATCGCCTATTAGCCTTCTTCACGTTCTTTTTTATTACTAGTCTTAGGGTACGCGCTTTGCGCGTGAACCCTAATTTAATGAATATATAATTTTTAAAATTATTTAACTATAATATTAAACAGTGTATTTATGTTTTAATAAAAATTAAAGAACGGAAGAAAGTAGCCTATGATTACTTCAGGTGTAAATTAAAAGTTAGTAGTTTTTGTTTTGGGTGTAATTGCTACCTTCATTATTCTATAAAGATTTTTCTTTTATGCTTTATTTTTTATTTCATATTAAAGACGATGAAATAAATTACATGTAATTAAAATTTATTATTTTTGTGTTACAATTAAGTGAAGATTCATAGACTATCGTGCAATACAATCCGATTAACTAAACAAAGCTACAATTTGTATTGGTTAAATTATAATGTAAACTTTGAATAAATTATTATTTAAGATTTTGAAGTAAATCATGTATTTGTCACTCCTATTCCAAATCATGTAAAAACAAGTAAGAATCCCTATTGTCGTTGGGAAAGCCTATTTATGGAAAGGAAAAGAAAACCTTCCGATAAGTGGTCCTCATCGAAAACAAAAATATATTAATTATCCATATTATATTAATTTTAAATTTTTAAATATTAAGACTTCGTACGTACGGTAATATTGTGTGAATAATTACAGTTGTTATATTCAACTGTAATTATAATTTAAATACAAACAAAAATACTATTATTAAGATTTTTTTGTTGATTCAAATTATTAATATTAGCTCATTATAAGTTATAGATAAAGAAATAATTTAATATGCAATATTTTAGTAGAATTACATTGAATCCCTAATTATTGAGATTTGATCAGCAAAATAAATTACATCGAACCTCAATTTTACAATAAATTATTATAATCAGGTTCAACCATATTTTTCTTTCTCTCGTGTTTGGACAACCAATTTTCAAGGAAAGGATTTGTAATATATAAAATCTTGGTTGACTTAAACTTCTAAATATTAGGACTTCCTACCTTGTTGAATAAAGAGATATTTAATAACTAAAATCTTAATTAATTTCAAAATTCTAAATATTAGGACTTCCTACCTTGTTGAATAAAGAGATATTTAATAACTAAAATCTTAATTAATTTCAAAATTCTAAATATTAGGAAAGTAAATTTAAATTATAATGTTGTCCAATGTAATATTTATTTTTAAAGGGTAAAAAAGACAAACGATATTTCACTAAAGACCTTCGTGCACGTGCGTTGCACGTGTAAATCGTGCATTTACCGTCTTCTTTTCTGTAATTTAGGAATAATTAATTATATTTAACGTAAAATTCACCTCGAAAAATTAATATATTTCCACGTTAATATATTTCCTCTCTAAACGTTGATCTGTTGAAGACTAGTTCTAACAAATGATTTGGAGTAGCGTATGCAGCTGTTCAAATATGTAGCCGAAACACCAAACTATCTTTTAATTAGTTGGCTGACAAATGTGCAAAAGGATTTTGTTACATTATCTATTTGACTTTTTTCACAATTTCCTTCGATATATTTGACCTTGTACTTTAAAAGTGTAAATTATTTACAATCTAAAAGTATAAAAATGTGAACGTCTTCAATCTCAAATAACAAAATTCTTTTTACAAATTATACCATAAAGAAAAGTCACATTATATCATTCTAAGAACTTGAATATATATATATATA